GGGGGGGGGGGGATCACTTGCACCCCAGAACCTTCCCCTAGCTACGCCCCTGTTTTTAATTTTGCGTTCTTCTCTATCAGTAAGACAGCGTCATTTGAGTGATGCGTTTCTGTGATACTGTAAGACAAAGATTATATCGGTTGTCTCCCTTAAAGCATGCTTTTTCTTTTCTTTTTCCTTTTTTTTCCAGAAGTACATATTTTCTTTGTGTTCCATTGTATTTGCTTTCCAGAGCGAACTTGAGATAATTGATTCTAGTTTGCTACCCATGATCCCGTTTCCAAAGATAGCTGTGACAATCTGAACCATGACTCGACAAAAAAGCAGCTCTTGAAACCTTTCCCTGCGAGCTTTAAGCTTCTTTGTAATAGTGCATAAATAACTTGTTGTGTCTATTATATACACATATAAAAAAAGATTAGATAATGCGAATTTTATCTCAGCACGTAGTACATCTATTGTTGGCTAGATTTATCCAAAAAAAAATCAACACGAAACAAAACAAAAGACTTTCATTCTTGAAACTTTTACCCCAGAATCACAAATCTGCTGAATACAGAGTTAGTTCCATATTTCTAGCGCTGCTTGTTCCTTTTCAGCTCGTAGGAAAACATTGTTACTGTGAGTAGAGGTAAACGCACGTTTTGTTTCACATTTTTTCTTAGCAAAGCTGCCCTTTTTGACCTCTCACAGATGGAAAAAAACGGTTTCTGTGTAGGCAAACCACAGGCAATCACGTAACGAAGAAAATATAATTTTTCAATTGTTTGATGCAGTCTTGTTCCTTGATAAGTAAAATTGATCTGCGTAGAATGTCAGACTTGTGAGAGAATTCCAAAACACCTGTAAAAAGTAAAATTCATTCCGGAAACGTGGGTCATTGGATTGTCTGACAGGTTGGTCGCTTGGTCGTGTGGCGTGACCATGTCAATCAAAGATGAAGCAATTGAATGGTCTCTGGAAATAACCAATAGCTTTGTCTCAATGCTTACGCGACGAAAATATCACAACCTAATTCAGCAGCATGTTTTTGACGTGAAAGTTTCGGGAATGATATAATCTTGCTATTGTTTTTCGTATTCTCTGGACACGCACGGGGCTAGTTGTTATTAGACGGCAATTCAGACGGGAATTTTACATAAGGATGTCCAGAAAGACCGATATGAAGCTATTTTAGCGGGGGAGGTGAGAGGAGCTGTCTGTTCTGTTAAATCAAAAATTCTACACTTTGGGAGTACTTCGATTGACAAACCTTTCTTCTCTTGTCGTTGTCGCTTTTCCGTTCGAAGTATCTAAACCAAAATGTGAGTAGTTCCTCAAATAAAAGAAATTTATCTTTTTTTCTTCGATCTTTCACCCAAAGGTGGTTGTTAATTCCATGTCTCGTTTTTTTTCCGCAAAAAAATCTAACATGTTGATCAAAATGTTAACCCTCATTATCAACCTTCATACATTTCTTTTAATTTGTAGTTCTAAGAATTTGTTAGTACATCAGGAACACATCCACAAGCAGATTATTTTGTTAATTCTTGTTTCTACCCTGCTTGATAATAAACTGATGTTGTAAAGAGAAATAACTAGTTGATTACTGTCAGCCCCCAGCCCAATCCTCTAACTCGAGCCCACCCCCAGTCATATCAAACTTAGCATAAAGTGCGATTGTTCGCCGACTAAAGAATCAACAAGTCTAGCCAACTTCCATTATCGATAAATAGGACTCTTGAGTTGATAAGATTGTCTTTGGTTTCTAAAGACCTGAAGTTAACTTCTAATTATCTCCCTCACTGACACCGGCACGTACTGCAATCTGATCACGTTGTTTACCAGGTATAAATGAGTGCGCCTTCCTCGAAATTTTACTGTTGAAACGATCTTCGTTCAACAAAAGTCATCTTCTCGGACCAGCAACAACGGTAAGTGAAATTAATTACACAGCTTTATTTGCATCAAACTTCATATATTTTCATCGAACGGAAATGGAGATTACATTTTTTTAATTCGTTAGTGTGTCTTTAAAATGGAAATTTTGATCATAATTTTTATCTTTCATCTTAATCATCTAATTTCTTGTTAAAAAAAATTCGTTCAGGCTTAGAATCCTAAACAAACGAAAATTCTTCGATAAATTGATACGTAAAATTCACAGTTTCGTAGAATTCCGTTTCAAGATCTTTCTGTTTTAAAAAAATTCTCGGTAGTAAAGGTTTTGCACAGATCTTAGTTGCCACACCCCACGCAAATTAAACAACCAGGCAACACTGATTTTCAGCCTCCGAGAAAGTTGTCCCTCCGCAAATCTTAAGAAAAGAAACATTTTCGATGGGCTTTTTCGTTACGCAGTAGCAGAAGGAATTTGATTTTTTTTTCCAAGCCTTAGAGCAAGGGAGTTGGAACGCTGTGGCTTAAAATTGATTCCATTGCATACTTAAAGCTTGCGTGAAACAACGCCCCCGAAAATATATAATCTGGAGTGGCACAGTAACATCTACGATTCCAGTGAATATTTTTTAGCAATGCAAATTAATACTTTGATTGACCCCTCGCTGGCAGTCTGTAAGTAGTTCTAATCGCTTAAAATATATATTGCTTACTTGCAATCTCCGCAAGATGATAAAAAGAATGTTGCTCTTTATTTAGTCACGCGTTTAGGGGTGTGTCCTTTCAGGTCTGTTCACCTTGAGTGATTTGCGTCGACGAAGCTTTCAAAGTCGCTTTGCTGCTCTTCATCTTATGGTAAGTAACCACAATAGGTTAATTTCATTCCGACACTGCTTTGTTTATGCATTTTAGCGCCTCTCTCGTCCAGAATATTCATTGTGCCACCAAAGTTAGCGAAGGATTATTTCTCGCGAGTAATCAGATAAACGGGGTGAGCTTTTAACCCTAAGTGAAGCAGAAATGATTGCACAATCTTTGAATTTGAAATATAAGCTCTAAAATTAACATCTAAAAAGATCGAAAATTTTGATGTACATCTGTTTTGTTCTTAGATCAATATGTCGAGGCTATTTTCAGTGGCCTTGCTTCTCCTGCTTGCTTGGTACGTGACATCAACATCAGTGACAGACCCTCATGGTAGTGATCCGAAAACATGCGAAATAGCAAGTGAGTATATGTCTCTATTATTAAAATTCATTTACTACTACCTTGTTCGCTTGTTCCCTTTTACCCTTGCTGCCTTGTTCTATTGCTGCCTTGATTCTTTTTTCCCTTGTTACCTTGTTCCCTTGCTGCCTTCTTGCCTTGTTCCCGTGTACCTACGTTCCCATGTTCCCATGTTCCCATGCTCCCGTGTTCCCGTGTTCCCGTGTTCTCTTGTCCCCTTGTTCCCTTGTTCCCTTATTCCCTTGTTCCCTTGTTCCGTTGTTCCGTTGTTCCNTCCCATGCTCCCGTGTTCCCGTGTTCCCGTGTTCTCTTGTCCCCTTGTTCCCTTGTTCCCTTATTCCCTTGTTCCCTTGTTCCGTTGTTCCGTTGTTCCCTTGTTCCGTTGTTCCCTTGTTCCCTTGTTCCCTTGTTCCTTTGTTCCCTTGCTCCCTTCTTCCCTTGTTTCATTGTTCTTTTTTCCCTTGTTTCCATGTTCCTTACTTCTCTTGTCCCCTATTGCCCTTGTTACTAGTTTTTCCCTTGATGTCCCTCTTTCCTGTTTTCTTTTTGAGTTTCTTGCCCACTTGATTAATTTTCAAACTCGTTTACTTAGCTTTTTGTCACTTGTTTTCTCGTCCACCACAAATGGGTTCACTCGTTCACTTCCTAGTTCACTTGTAACCTTGTTGCCGTGTTCAGTTCTTTACTACTTGAATTGTCCCCTTCTGCACTTGTTCTCTCGATAACTTGTACTGTCCTTGTGTTCACATGCCATATCCCTTGATGGAAATTATTTGAGCCTCGCTTCTTCATCTCACTGGAGTATAGCTACTTTTTTCATTCGTTGACAAATAGTTCTTGAAACAAAAAATAAACTTTTCATTCATCGTGTCTCGACAATGAATATAATTATGTAACTGTTTTATTGTACTTAATTTTGCAGCGTGTGGTGAGAAGAAAGTAGCTCGTCCTCTGAGTACATTTTTCTCAAGAGTTCCTTACAACCTTCTAGAGTTCTTGATACGGCAAGTCCCAAACGTTGCCCCACAGAGTCGTGCAGAATTGGAATTCAGTGCTCTCTGGCTTCTTGATGAAGAATTAAAGGACGTGAAGACCACTGACTTCAAGTACATCCCTGAAGGACCCAAAGGACCATCGACTCCACTTCTTGACGTCAACCTTATTGTCAGCCCGACATCGGAAAAGACGCAAAACTACATTGTGGCCCGTTCAATGGACGCCAGACACCCCCCAGAATTTGTCATCCACAAACAGATTACACTCAACGGTGCTTTACGTTCTTACAAGCAGGGCAAGGCCATGCTGATGTACTCACGCTTGTACCCAACTCATCAAGGTGTTTTGCAGATTTGCCACATAAAAGAAGTGTTGAAGTTACCAGTTATGGTGGTCTTCTCTATCCTTAGAAGAAACGTGGAAGAAAAGAGGCACCTGACGCATCTGGCGCACTGTGGAATTAAGGCGATCCAGCTTCCACCCAGACTACCCATAACCAAACCTCCAGAAGTGAAAGAAATCAAACCGATGCCCAACATCGACTACATCTTCCATGGCTACAACTTCCTCTATGGAAACCCTGTTGTTGACCCACAAGTAGGACGCGACCCTGGAGTCTCTCGTATGCCGATCTTTCGGGCCACCTTCGACCGAGGCTTGACAACGCCTGATCAAAGGTACTTGATTCCAGATGGCATGTCCTTTCTGAAGGCGGTTAGCTGCAGAATTGACTTCAACTCAGCCCAGGATCGCAGCGAGAAAGCTTACATCAAATCCTTAGCTACTACAGTTGGAGCTGGAGCTTCTTTTCTGGGATTTGGCTTTAAAGCAAGCACAAAGGTGCAAGAGAAGACCGCAGAACTGAGGAAAGTTAGTTACTCGTACGTGATCACTGAAGCTGTTTGTAGTGTTTACACTGGCGCCGTCTTCATGGATTTGCCTCCTAAACCCTCGGATGAGTTTGTAGCGTCACTGAAGAAGTGCGAGAAGGACCTATCAGAGGACTCTTTTAGAAGTCTGATTGACAACTTTGGTACCCACTTCTTAACGGATGTCGTCATGGGATCTAAATATGGCGAGGAAAGCAAAATAGCCACTGACGAGTACGAGAAGATGGTGTCCGAGGGTCTTGACGTGGGAACGGCTGCTGGGTACTCTGGCAGATTTTCCGCAGGCGTGACAACTGAGACTGCTTCAGAGAAACAGCAAAGGGAAAGATTCGAGTCAGCCCGTACAAGTAAGACCAGCTACTCGTATGGCTCTAATATTCCTTCGAACGGTAGTGCCACCGCCTGGCTCTCGAAGAGCTCTGATGATCCCATGCCAATCAATATGGACATCACAGCATTGTCAGAACTCATGACTGAAGAATTCCTTGGTGATACCGGCATCGACTACGAAAAATTGAAGAAGCCTCTGATAGACTACTTGACCCAGTACTGTTCAAAGCTTGTAGATGAGGGAAAAGCAAAAGATTGCATGCCACCGACAGGTATTTTATTATTATTTTATGGTCAAAATTGTGCGTCATGTTTGCAAGCATCTCTAGCTAAGGACACATTTCCATTCAAACGCATTTAACCCTTCAGTCGTATTACTGCATTTGTTTACTGGTTCCCAGTACATTTCTTTTGTTGTATTTTCAACCATTTGGTGGCGAACGCATCAGGACTTCCCCAGCATATGTCTGTTTGAGAATGTATTCGAATGTACATAATGAAAAAGTAGGGGTAAAGAATGAATGTCAGTTGATTCTTGTGCATAGACATCTACAAGTCATGATGCAACCAGACGGGAAGATGTTAGGAAAGCAAAGGAACCATACCTTACCTACACGTATATCAATTAGGACATCTATACACTGTATATGCGCCTACAATAGCCAGAGTACTCACAGAACATAAATTCATCGATTCAAACAGGACGAATAGTTCCGGGTTATGGGCATCAGTTTGTCACCACTTTAAAATATAGCGGACGTTCCCTGTTTTATGGACCATTTACCGCTTCAGTTTCATTTCAGTTTTTATTTGTTATTAAGTGTTTGATACTTTTTCTCCCTTGTTAGAATTTGCCACTAACGGTCCAGGTCTGACCACGTTGCTTACAACCGGCAGTCAAGTCATCGGAATTGATATGATTGACCAAAACACCATGGCGCTGGTCTATGGTAAGAGAAGCTGGACACTTTCCATTCGATCACTCTCCGAAGAACTGGCCTCCAAGCAGCTGATCGACAAAGACATGGCCTATGGTATGGTGCTCTGTCGAGGAAGTCGCCGTCTGGGTGTTCTCATCTCTGACAGGGAGACCTACGCCCGCATCGAAATGTACGAAATCAGTGGCGACGGTAAGACCATAACCAAAGATAGAGACGAAGACCTCCTTAGCATCGGAATGACACAGAAAGACATCAGCGATTTGTACTTTAACAGGCTTACCTACTATGCTGACGTGAACGGGTTTTTGTTGGCGAGGCAAGTAGATTGGGTCGAGCTGTGGAAGATCGATAGCATTTGCATCCCCAATGCACAAGTAACAGCCAGACGGATACTGAACTTGCAACCTGCCTGGGCAAACTACCTGAAAACAGCAGTCCACCTGAGTGACAACTTTTTTGCCATCTCATTTGACGCTAAAACGGCCAGTACTCTCAAGGTCGTGGAAGTGTTTAGCGAGAGTAGCTACAACGACAGCATTGCCGACTTCAGATGGACCATGCCCCTGGCCTGCGGCGCCTTGTTCAAAGATGACAAAGATGCGCTGATAGCTTTGGGAACGCAGATTCAGCCTGGCGTGGGAACCGGCATGATGTCGGCATTCCGTTGGCTGAGAAACGAGAAAAGGCTGGAGTTCGGATCACACCTGCTGACCGATGACTTCCTGCAAGATGGGTCGGAGCTTGGCGTCCTCTCCGTGTACGGTGACATGGTGTACTTTGCAGAGGAAGGCTATGACGATACTGGAAAGGTCCTGAAGTACCAGTTTAGGTACGAGTAACGCAGGTACCCACGCATGGCTGTCGATGGAACACAAACACTGATTACAACGAACATTGATTTTGCATTAGGTACTAAGCATTTGATTCTTGAATAGGGTGGTTTTCAGGATACTATTCCGAAGAAAATGTTCTTTTATGTGTTTTGTTCAGTTTTCTGATTCAAGCCAGAGAAGAAGGCCATTTTAAGGGCCAGTCAGCTTGAGGTCGCTTGTTGCAGTCATTTCAAGTTTCGCCTTTTTTTCTGTTAAAAGGGGCCTCGTTAGCTACACCTTTGTTTTTGTTTACAAGCGAGAGTTTGGCTATTATATTTTATTCGGAGCATGTCGAAACGAAAGAAATCACTGCGAATCAAGTTGAGATAATTAAACATACTTTCAGGAAAACAACTTGCGGTAAAGCAATAAGATGTCGCTTCACCATGCAATGTCAATAACATCGATGGCATCGAAAATGGAGGAGCCGCCACTGATCTCTTTCTTGTGGTCACTGAAAATTCTTTGTGATAATTCAAAAGCACAGTCTTCCTAAGGGCATAAGCCAGTAATTCTCTGATTTTATAACAAGTTTTTGTTCTGTTCTTGGGTAGTTTTGAAATTCGTTGTTTTTGCTCAGATGCCTGTCGATGGATTGCATTGTTAGGCGTTTTATTTTTTACTAGCTATGTGTGGTATAAGACGAGGTCTTCACAGATCGACATTGTAGTACATTTTGTCTGTTTGATAAAGTGCTCCCACATACATAGTAAAGGCCATGGTAGTACTTATTTTCTGGGTTGCATCCAAAGCAGTTTCCTTAGGACAGGAAACGGTTCAGTTTTAAGCCAGTCACGGTTAAAGGGCTCAGATCTGGATCTTGATAATACACTGGTTCAAAATAGCTTGAACGACTTAGGGTTCGGCCGGTCGTTTTAAAACGTCCTGTATTACACACAACGTTTCAAAACGTTTGCGAGACGTAGGCTACTGCTGCTTATAGGGAAGGCCCCGGTCTTTGTCCTATCTTTTATTTTCTAAAGGATGTAGTGGGAAACATCATAGGGGAAAAGTTCATAGATTTTTTTGTTGATGATATTAAAAGACTGTGCGAAAAATTATGTTTCCTAGCCACAAGTGAAGTCAAGAATCAAAATAGACTTAAGCTTTGAATAAACACTTGATGAATGGCTTTTATGTTTGTGTCATGCTCGCTTTAAATAAGTGAAGAAGGTTGTTATGCTGGTTCTTCGTGACTGAAACCTGTTTCACTTAAGTTTCAGTAAAGTTTCTTTTACTAAAGAGAAAATTCAAAAGCTAAGAGTAGGATCACTGACAATCGCTTGCTCGGGGCAATAATTACTTACCACATTACTACAGTTTTCTCCAAGTTCACCCCCAACTTTCTGTCTTCGTTGAAACCTTTTAAAACTGAGCGGAGCCGGGAAAAATGGTCACATATCTCACTTGTCTTTAAATACATAGATATTATCATTGCATGACAGTGAGAAGGCAGGAGGAGACAGGGGAGGGATGAGCTAAGGGTCAAGGAGCCAATGGGTGCCTTGTCAAGAAAACCGTTACATGTGATAAGGACCTTTAAATTTTTCTTGTCAAATGTTCTTCAACATTTCTAAGCTAATGTTACAGAACGCTTGTGAGTGAAAATGGGCGGAAAGTATAGCGAAGTTTACAAAAAATGAATTGTTAATAGCTAATGCTGTCCCATGAAAAGAAAAGAAATGTTTTGTTTTTGGTTTGTTTTTCGTTTCTGCTTGTTTTGCATTACACGATGAGTAACGCTGCTAGTGTCTACTCAAGATTGCACCCAATAACAGTTAGCGCAAAATACAAGTGAAAGTTAGCATGCAAGTTGATTGTCACGGAAGGAAATGCCGAATTTTGTATCTTGGATATCAAAACTTGGAGTACTAAGTTCTTAAAATTATTGATGGGGCGAGAGTCTTACAGTGAAGTGAAGAAGTGTCTCAATCCAGCTTTTTTTTTCTTTTTTTTTTGGAGCAGACAAAGCATTTTCAAGCAACTTTTTACAAGTCTTCCGTTTAACGCTGAACGTGAAAGTGACACAAGTAATTGGAAATAGATTGATGCGGGATACAATCAATACAGTGAAAATTTATTTTGTTAGAGAAAGTATAAAAGGAAACGTTAGATGTCATCCCAAACGAGGACGTTTCTACTTATAATCTAACCTCCAAAAGTTCACCAATGTTTCTATTTAGCAATTAGACTATGACCCGGCTCGAGATTTCTATCAGGGAGCGAATAATCTAATTGTTTTGGTGTAAATCTACTAGTCGTTCAAAACTTTCGCTAAGTCCTCTTCACAGACACTTCAAAAACGCAAAGAAGCGGCCGTTATTAGGTATTAAGTATTTTTAGCCGACGAATGTTTTACCGTGGATAAATGAAGATTATCTATCTATCTAGCCATTTTGTTAACAACCGCACACTGCTAGGCTACTCACTATCTACAACAAAACACATAGTGAGCAGGGCAGCCAATAACAGAACAGCATTCGTAATAGAACGCTAGTACATCTAGCCTCGTTTCCATTAAAACATGGAGAAAATGGTTTCCTTTTTTTCCAGAAAACACCGTAGAAAGAAAGAAAGAAAAAAAAGGAGATAAAAGAAAAAAAGGATGAGACGAAGGTTCGAATTGGAAATTCTCTTTACTTGCGACATCATTTCGCTGATGGCCCGTGATATTTCTGCAATTACCACGAGTTATTTCAGTACAGCTTTTTACGCGCGCTTTCTCGCAGTTTTTCAGTCCAATGGTGTATATAAGAAACCATTGACATACACCTCCACCCCACAGGTATTTCAGCGGGCATTTTTTTCCCTTTAAGAACAAAGCCCCACCCCTTCC